GCGTCTTTATAGAAAGCTTTTAAAAATACCGTCAAAATGTTTAAAGATCAGTTTTTACACAAAATATATAAAATACCGGCTTCTAAAAATAATTAATTAAAAGATCAGTTCATTTCCTATTAGAATAAAGTAATTAAATTGGAATTATTTTACATCAATCCTTCCGCGAGACTCAGAAAGCATGTGACCCCGCACGCGGGGTACACTACAGTATAGAGCCAACTCGCTCGCCGCGGGGGCCGGTGCGACGCCGGCCGGGTCAACGCTCGGTGTTTTTGTCGAAATAACGACAGATATCGTGTTTGAGGTGATAAAGTACTGATTTGTAAAGATCTCACAGTCTTGAAAAAAATTATGCTCCATATATTTGCGATAGTGATTGTACTCTGTTAATGTGGAGATGTTTAGTGGGCTTGGTACTCTTTTATTGTCTGTCAAACAAGGGGTTGCAGCCAGTGACTGACTTTAACAAATTTGATCAAATTTTAAACAACTACAATTTTCTTAAAAATTGACGGAGATGTTAAAGAATGGTACCAAAATGCTCAGTGGATATAGGCCTTTCAAATGGAAAAGATAAATTTGGCATACAGCTAGTTTGAAAATTTAGTTTCTGGTACCTAAATGAAGAGCGCATGGAACAAAAACTAAAATACATTTTCCTTCATCAACAGAGAATTCAAATAAAAGATATCACCATGCAGTTCTAATCTGAAATTTTGTTCTCAAATTAAATGTTTGTAACTGAACATATTTTCGAGTTCAAATCTAAAACTGAACTCACCTCTTTCTTGGCAATATCGATATACCCTAAGACTATCTTCGCTTGCTCCTCACTGATAGATGCTCCCACAGTGGTATCCTCTAGCATGGGGTCGCCAATTTTCATCTTGGAAACTCTAGTTTTCAACATAGACAGAAACTCTTCTGCTATGCTCTCTTCCACAAACACACGGGTGCCGTTGGAGCATACCTGATCGAACAGTGAAAAAATATGCAAACAATAAAATTCTGTTTACATCGATTGTCCCGTTATGGATAGCGTAAAAGTTCCACTCCCACAGTCATTACAAAAAATTACAGGTAAATGTTGAGAATAGGAAGGCTGATGCTCTAAGCTTAATGAGAATGCTGGTGACATAAAATTCCTCGGCGTAACAATTTCACTGAGGAAACAGGAAAGCTGTCGACCAAGTAGTATGAAGTCTACTTCTGCTATAGGCTTTTGCATCTTGACAGACGATCATAAAGCAGCATTCATGATAAAGAGAACTGGACAAGCCAGAATAGACCAAGCTCAAACCTTAATCTAAGCATGCGAACCCTGTAACCACAAAACAGTAAAAGAACTGAAGTATGTGGAAATTACTGAATGACTACTGTTTTGCATAAGACATCAATTTCCACAAGAGAACAAAACAACTCACCTGTCCCTGGTTACTAAAGTTGGCCAACATTGCACCTTTTACAGCATTTTCAAGGTGGGCGTCAGCAAAAATGATCAATGGAGACTTTCCACCAAGCTCTAATGTGACATGTTTCACATCCTGGTGGGGACAACGAAAGACAAAAAGAACACCAAATAAATCTCAGATTTTGCATCATTGTGAACTCAACAGTATGAGACAATTACCCTACCTTAATCTGCCTCCCCCCACTGCCTTTTCTAAAACAAAAAAAATTACAATAATGAACAAGTTAGTACAGTGAAAATTATCCAAGACAGCAATCTTTTGTCGAGGAGGAAAATGATTGTCTTAGACATGTAGACATCTTGGACTGCCATTATAATATTACCAAAAAACGCAAGGGGGCGAAGTGGGAAGAGGTCGTTTGTACAAGTGTTTGTCAAGGCTGTTACAGATGGTTTGACTGTATAAAGCTTGTCACACCCACTTCCTAAACTGCTGGACTGTATTCAAAAGTAATATACTTCAGAACATATATATATATATATATGCTAGCTACCGGAAACTAAATTTTCAAAGTAGCTGTATGCCAAATTTGTCTGTTTTATATGAAAAGCCTGTGTCTGCTGAGATTTTTGGTGCTATTGTTTAATCTCTCAGTCAAGTTTTACGAGAATGGCAACAGCTTAAATATGATCAAATATTGCAAAATTCATTACATGTCTGCAATGTTTGGCAGGTAATAAAACAATACCAAGTGCACCTAACATCTACACATTAACAGAGTACAATCACTTTAACATAGGTATGGAGCCTAATTTTTTTCAAGACTGAGATCAATGCAAATCAGTATGGAATAGCCTGTACAGCATTTGGTGTTTTATAGTGACAGAGCAAAGAAACAACGATCTGAATTACCCCAATTTCCACCAAAATCACACACTAAGAAGGTTGTGAAGTGGCTTACGTGCCGTGTTTACATTAGGCCTACCTACACGCATAAAATATAATTAAAGAAAATCATAAAATGAAAGATCTGAATCAGAAAAGAAATCTCCGTAAGCAAATGCATCGCTTGTACAATGTGCAGTTACCTTGGCACAGGTGGCCATAATGCGACTGCCAGTGGCTACGCTGCCTGTGAATGTGACCTTGTCAATACCCGGGTGCGATGTGAGAATCTGACCAGTGGCTCCCTCTCCCTGAGAACAACACAGAGAAGGGATTGTTGAAGAACACAGAATGTTTCATAAAGAGAGAGAGAGAGTAAAACTCAAAAATAGATGTATTCAAGTTAGATGATAAAAAATGTTACTGGCACATATGATTTTTCAAAAACCACAGCATATCCAAAGCCAGCACTTGCAGCTCATGACTTTTTAATTGCTCCGTGGAGACTACAGACTGGCGTGAAACAGGGCTGAAAAGAAGACATGAAGAGAAAAACGCCAACTCCTCACCATACCCTGGAGGCTGAGGTGCAAATACTTTGCCTCTTGGTCAGACAGAAGACTATCTATACTATATCCCCCCACTCCACCAAGAATTCATATGATAAACAAAACAAATAGCACAGCAGCAACATTTTTTGGTGCGATGAAAAAATAGATCCAACGGTACAAAAAATTAACCAAAAATACCATCTTGTAATAGTTATGCATAGTTAAGAATGGAGCTATGAAAAAACTACCTGCACAACATTGTAACAGCCATCAGGCAACCCCGCCTCTTGATAGATTTCCCCCAACATGACCGCTGTGAGTGGGGTGAATTGGGATGGCTTGAACACGATGGTGTTGCCACATGCCAGGGCAGGCGAAGACTTCCAGGCCGCCATCTGGAAGGGATAGTTCCAAGCCCCAATTCCCCCTACAACTCCGAGTGGCTCCCGCACTGTGTAAGCGAAGCTGCCGCCCGAAAGCTGTAGGAAGTCACCTGTTGCAGATTACAAAAAAGTCCCCTTGAATGTTAGTCTTTGTAAAAATTGTTAGATTTATGCTTCCAACTGGCAGATCCCAAAATGTAAACGTAGCACTCGGGTGTCACTGACTCAGAGAAAACTTAACACTTTTCCGCCTCATCTCGCCGATCGGCTATGTTTACCTCCCAATTTCTTTGGATTTTCCCCCAAATGTGATGGCAAAGTGTTAAGTAAATAACATTATCCTTAAACTGTCTGTCACTAAAGCAGACACTGCCACGATCTAACTTTAAAACTTAACATCATTTTCACATTTGAACTCCTTTTAAGACAAAAATTTGCCTCATACACTTTAGACACCCCCCCCCCCCCCATTTGCACTGAGGAGGAAAACAATGCCATCAAAGAGAAACAGATGTCTGGTCACCTGCAATAGCAGCAGCTAAACCTCCGTAGTACTCGATTGTGTCTGCACACCCTTCAATGTCATAGCGAGCCTCCCAGATTGGCTTTCCAGTATCCAACACTTCAGTACGGGCAAGCTCTTCCACCCTTTTCTGGGATGAAATAAAGTAGTACATTCTGGACTGTTATATTCGCAAAAACAAAAGAACTAAACAACTTTGATAGTAATTAACAAACAACTGCTCAACCTCAAAAGCACATTGAATATTAGCATAAAAACAGAACTAACATTTTTTACACATGCAAAACAAAAGAGGAGTATTTACTTGAAGTCCCCAAAACCCATATGGGACTATTCTGCATTATTTTACTTTTAACTGTCTTGTGAAAGCCTACAGCTTCCAAACTGAATAGGGTTCCTTGCTATGAAAGAATCCTGACACTAGCGAACACGAAAACAAAAATCATCATTTGACCAAAACAGCTCCAAAAGACCATTCTCATGTTTTTTTACATGCAGAGTAAACACTGAAACCTTGTTATTATGGCATTTGTTGGCATCATCATGTTTCATGGTTACCTCTGACGGATGGAACTCAATCCGAGGACACATAATATTTCAACAATACAATGATGTTTTTAAAAAGAAATACACTAAAAAAAGAAAGGAATATTCTGATCCGGACACCTCTGAATACTTAAAACATAGAACAAAAGATTACCCTGCATATGTCTGCTGCTCTTTTCAGCACTTGACCTCGTTCAAATCCTGACATCTTTGACCAGGTCCTGAAGGAGTTCCTGGCCACTTGCACTGCCTCTTGAACATCGTCGTCATTTGAGTTGGAAACTGATCTCAGGGGCAGCCCTGCACAGAGAGAAAAGATGGGAAAATAGAAACGTGACTTGTATTTAAAAACCCCAATAATAAAGGCAAAGTATACCTATCTATTACATGTGTCAAGTGTCCATGAAAATATGACTGGTCCTGGCGATCATTTGTATGATCCATTTGTAACAGCATAACACTGCATATAAATATCAAATACTTCCAAATGGAAATTATTGTGTTCAAGTTTCAAGCATAACTTTTAAAATAGAAAGTCTCCATTGAATCTCTTTGTCTTTGAAGAAAGAGAGAGAGAGATTAAAAACAAGAGAAATAACTTTTCAATAGCTGGAATGACAACATTTTAACCTCTGTTTCCCTTGTGTATGTGTAAGAGTACACATCTCTGTGAGAGGGAAAGCGTGTGCTAAAAGAATGCTGTGACAACCATCAAAAATTTATGTGAACCTCTAATTTTTGTTCAGGCACACGTACACAGAATTAAGTTTGACAAACCTGTGGCAGGAGCTATGAGCTTGAAGGAAGTGTTTCCCCGAGCATCAACTCGTCTTCCATGGAGGAAATTAAGTGGCAAGGTAACCTGTTGGGATGTTGCAAGAGAGTCCCATGTTTGGCTGCTGTAGCTCCTTCTGCTAATGAGAAATCTGTAGCAATTTTGAAGACCTCTCATCTTGTCTTTCAACCTTTATGAAAAGATTATCATGAATTAGTCATTGATCACTGGCATAGCTAGCTCCCACCGAAAAGGTCACAGTATGTCTTTTTTTTTGGTAAGTGTTTTACGGCGCTCGCAACTGCATATTGTCATATATATGAGCAGGTGGGACACATAAAACATTTTCAGGTGGTTGGAAATTTTGAATTTTGCCAGGGTGGTGGCTGAAACCTACTCTTATCGATTTTAGATCACCAGGGATCTTTTTACAGCGCAACTTGCACACGGGACCTCTGAGATTTTTTCGCCCTTGTCCAAGATCAAGAAGGCTAGGAGTAGATCTTTCCTACCATATGATCAGGGGTGTGGCTGAAAGATAGCACAGTAAAAAGGATCCAAGGAGTAGCAGTAGAATCAGAAAGGCTGCAGAGTCAGAAGCCTAGAGGAGGGGGCAAGGGAGGTGAAGGGAGTGGGGGCAGTAAGTGGAGACGAAAGCAGATGACAGAACATCATCACTAATAGAGAGCAGGAAAGGAGGTGAAAGGAGAGATTTTGGCGCTTTTTCGGTAGTTCCCACCCCGCAATTGTTATAGCTGTTTTTGGCCCCAAGAAAAGGGGGGTTTCAGGGGGGCTTGCCCCCCCTGACCTTATAAAAATATGGTGGGGGGTTTCAGGGGGGCATGCCCCCCTCTATTTTACCACAATTTAATGTTTTGCAGTTGTTAGCTTTGATATCTTAGCTTGCAGCAAATCAAACGTATAGATCTAGATGTAGGTCAGGCTCAAATAAAAGGGGTGGGAACTACCGAAAAAACACCTAAAATTGCGGGGTGGGAACTACCGAAAAAGCGCCGAGATTTTAGCGAAGAAAATCTTTTCGGTCGCTACCCGTATTCAAACCCCTGACCTTTGAATGAGAGGTGAACACCTTAACCTCTAGGCCACAAGAGCCCCCTCAGTATGTCTAGCTCATGGTAGGCCCTATAAATTTGCACTTTTCTAAAATTCATGTAGCCTACACAGTGTCACGTGTTTCCCAAGGACACAATGTCGGGCCCTGATGGGATACAATATATATATATAACGATAACTACAGCAATTTCAACTTGATCAATGCCAATTAAAATTGCATCATATCTCAGTATTCAGTGTTAAAATTTAATTAAATCACAACATTTTTTATTAAAAGCGGCTAAATTAAGCAGCATACAAAAAAATATGCAGGTCATGTTTTCAAAAGTGGAGAAACATTAAAATACAGTTTCATGAATATGAGATTTCTGTCTGTAAACTCGTGGGGGGGGGGGGGGGGGGGAATATGCCAAGTACCAAAACGCAACAATCAAAGTCACTCATTACTTTTACCCAGTTCTGTTGCATTTTGACAAGTCAAAGGCAAAGGTCACTAGATCTAGATCTAGAATCTAGATCTATAGAGAGTCTAGTTCATTTGTCATCTACAAAAGCAAGGCATCGTAAGGGGTCACCGTTATCACACTGAACGAAACAATAAGTCCTTTTGTCTAGACTAGTCTAGATCTAGTCTAGATCTTGAATCTAGTAGACAATGCGGGCCTAGATTCTACCTAACTCCGAAAATCGTCAGTAATGCCGGTGCCGCCGGTGTCAATAATTTGTAATTACTCGTACTTGAGTGGCCATCCTACAAGCTGAACTAGATTCTAGATCTAGATTCTAGATCTATCAGTTAACTTTCATTATTTAAACTATTTTTTCCGTTTTCATAACACTAGATAGAGAACAAATGGTGCGCTGGCATTAGATCTAGATATAGGCCTAGAGTCTAGGCTTACCTTCTTATATAAACAGATGTGACGGAAAGACCAAAAAAAATCCCGGTTGCGGCCTGTTGTGTGTGAGAGTGCGCAAGACAGTGTTGTTACAATTTCAAAACAGAGTGATCTCCCTTGGGGTCGAGGCTGCCAGATCTATTTTTATACCAAAACTATCAACAATCAACACTGCACTGACTCAAGACGAGACATCGGAGGGTAAATCCGAAAAAGTCAGTCGTGCTTGCTGGATAGCAGAGTTCAGTTGTAAGAGATATTATTATTATTATTGATTAGTGAATTTTCTCGTATTTAAGATTAACTTGATGTTTAGAATTCATAAATCCCAAATGGCGATTGCCAATAAAGAATAACTGCGCTGACAAGACTAACATACGTCACAATAGACAATACGTGCGTTGTCGTTGCTTTTAGTCTGAACGCATTATCATCGATGATTATGAGGGATAAATTAAGAGATTTGTTAGTATTTGGTCGTTGGCCATCCGAGTGTTCGGTGTGAACGCGCAGTTAGTCAGACCCGTTAGTAAAATTGTTTCAATCGCACCTTCGCAGTACGTGACATGACATCGCCGTGTGAGTTCTGCGTGTCCGGGGACCGTCTGTTGACGGGGTCAACCTAAAAAGCCTAAAGGCTAAGTTCATGTATTTCGGGACTTATTTGGGTGCTTTTTCTGTAGTTCCCACCCCCCTTATTTGAGCCTGACCTACTTCTAGATCTAGATCTATACGTTTGATTCGCGGTGAGCTAAGATATCAAACCTAACAACAGCAAAACATTAAATTGTGGTAAAATTCAGGGGGGCATGCCCCCCCGAAACCCCCCTTCCTATTTTTGTTAGGTCAGGGGGGCAAGCCCCCCTGAAACCCCCCTACTCTTGGGGCCAAAACCCGTGAACAATTGCGGGGTGGGAACTACCGAAAAAGCGCCCTTATTTGTGGGGGGGGGGGGGGGGTAAAGACACTTGGACTAGGAGTGCTTGACGTGATGCTTCAGGATTTACAAAAAGGAAGTGCCTATTTGCAACGCCGCGTTGCGATTAGCGTCAGTGCTAAATAAAACGCTGCGTTGCCATTAGTGCCAGTACTGCTAAATAAAACGCCGTGTCGCCGTTTGTAAAATATCAAGCTTAATCTGCACATCGTTATCGGAAGTTCTGATGGCCGAAGTGACAGCACGTCTGCGCTTGTAGTCAAACCTATTTCTCCGAACATTCGGGAAAATAAAGCTGGACACTATTTTTCCGAACGTTTGGGAAATAAAGCTGGGCACTATTTCTCCTAACGTTCGGGAAAATAAAGCTAGGCACTATTTCTCCGAACGTTCGGGAAAATAAAGCTGGGCATTATTTCTCCGAACACTCTGAAATCTCATCCTTTCCCGCAAATTTCGGATATTATAAAGATCTATAATTATAGTATAGGCTTACCAAAAATTGTTAGTTTACAATGTGGTTCAATCGGTCCAAAAAATGTCCGCAGTAAATATTTATATAAAGAAATGCTACAACTCCGAACAGTTTTTCGCTACAGATATGACATGTTGCCTATGAAGGGTGCAGCTCTTAAACGTAATGTGTTGTGTTCACTCGTGTGCTGTCTAGATCTAGATCTACGGAGGGTTATTGATAACGACACATAGAACTGGCATCTGCGTTTGTCATTGCTGCGACCAATGTACTGACACTGGCAAGTCCCTAAATGTGTGTTATTCCATAATTTACATGTAATATCCTGTACTTTTTTTTTTTTAATTACGCACATTTAGGGTTAAAACAGCAAATTTTCTTCGGACAGGTGGACACACGCCCTTATTTGTTAATGTTTGTTGTTGTTTGTGGGCTGTTCTAATTTTGATTTCTTTCTGTTGTGAAACCTTTCTTTTTCACGTTTTTACACTCATCTAAAAATCTCTAGACTAGCTCTTGAAAATTGAAATAGATATATAGACCCAAAAATTTGCTCCTGTGTGTGTGTGTGTGTGTGTGTGTGTGTGTGTGTGTGTGTGTGTGTGTGTGCGTGTATGAGTGTGTCTGTGTGTGGTTGTAAGTGGAGAGTGAGGAGTGTGTGTGTGTGTGTGTGTGTGTTTGTTTTTCGGGCTTTATTTCAGCCTTTATTCAGTAACAGTTCAAAGTATACAAAAATTGAAACACAGGATCCATTCACTCCATAGCTCATGAGTCGTTCGTCTCTTTCAGTTTCACTCATTCATTTAATTCCCCTGTTCTCTCCCGCGGCTCATCCCCGTCCGCATGACTTTCATACCCCACCCCCTCCCTCCAGGCACACACAAAGAAAATCTCACTCATTCCCTTGCACCCTGCGAACCATGTACAATAATATAGGCAAAACACTGCCTGAGCTGCATTCCTTTCGTTCGTGAGCTGTGGATCAGGCCAGGGGGGTCGGTGTCGTCGTCTTGTAGTTGCTGTCGCCTGTGGATACACTCGCACATTCTTCCTTTCACCCGCTCTTTCACTCACACTGTCTCTCCATCCACAGCTCAGCTCGTCATACGTTCAAAAGTTGCCCACTGGTCATGTTTAGTTAGTGTGTGTACATGTGCATGATGGTGGTGGGTGTGTGATGGGTGTTACTGAAGGTTGTCTGTAGGCGGGCTTGCCATGCGGTGTTCCTTCCCAGACGAGAGGCAGAATGAAAGTTGGCGCCGAACTCTCGCAATAAATAGGCCAAAAATCACGAGACCGGAAGCCGGAAACCGTTCGGAGAAATAGTCACTTCGTATTTTTTTAGCGTGGGTTCGATCCCGGTCCTGGACGTTTTTGTTGTGGAAGTGTATACAGACCCGGTAACCGGGAACAAAGTCACAAAGTATACAGACCCGGTAGGGGAACTCTTTTGTGATTTCGGAAAGTTTCAGCGCACTCTGTGCTCAGGGTAGACCTAGGTTCTTCAAGATCTATGGCCTAGGTCTAGATCTAGACAGACAGCAAATCCTAGGAGGTTTATCAAAAAACTGAGAAAGCTTCCACAATTCAGGCAGAACAACAATATTATCATGTAGAAACGATGGCTACAACATATCTAGGTCTTGATCTAGATTCTAGATCTAGCACTGGCGTTTCAAATAGTACGGGAGCTATTCAGAACGCGGCGTTGCAAATAGCGCTTGCCTTACAAAAAATAATGATCGCGCGCACGCACGCTCACACACACACACACACACACACACACACACGCACGCAAACAAACAAAGGCACACAGAGGGCATAGAGGCCAAGTAATTTATGGACTCCTCTGGAAAATTTTTACGAAGTGACTATTTCTCCGAACGTTCGGAGAAATAGTGCCGATCTTTATTTCTCCGAACGGTTTCCGGCTTCCGGTCTCGTGATTTTTTGTCTATTTATTGCGAGAGTTCGGCGCCAACTTTCATTCTGCCTCTGGCCTCTGGTCTGGGAAGGAACACCGCATGGCAAGCCCGCCTACAGACAACCTTCAGTAACACCCACCACACACCCACCACACACCCACCACCATCATGCACATGTACACACACTAACTAAACATGACCAGTGGGCAACTTTTGAACGTATGACGAGCTGAGCTGTGGACGGAGAGACAGTGTGAGTGAAAGAGCGGGTGAAAGGAAGAATGTGCGAGTGTATCCACAGGCGACAGCAACTACAAGACAAGACGACGACACCGACCCCCTGGCCTGGTCCACAGCTCACGAAAGAAAGGAATGCAGCTCAGGCAGTGTTTTGCCTATATTATTGTCCATGGTTCGCAGGGTGCAAAGGAAAGAATGATATTTTCTTTGTGTGTGCCTGGAGGGAGGGGGTGGGGTATGAAGAAAGTCATGCGGACAGGGATGAGCCGCGGGAGAGAACACGGGAATTGAATGAATGAGGGAAACTGAAAGAGACGAACGACTCATGAGCCCTGGAGTGAATGGATCCTGTGTTTCTATTTTTGTATGCTTTGAACTGTTACTGAATACAGGCTGAAATAAAACCCGAAAACACACACACACACACACACACACACACACACACACACACACACACACACAGGAGCAAATTTTTGGGTCTATATCTATTTCAATTTTCAAGAGCTAGTCTAGAGATTTTTAGATGAGTGTAAAAACGTGAAAAAGAAAGGTTTCACAACAGAAAGAAATCAAAATTAGAACAGCCCATAAACAACAACAAACATTAACAAATAAGGGCGTGTGTCCAACTGTCCGAAGAAGATGGGCTGTTTTAACCCTAAATGTGCGTAATTTAAAAAAAAAAAAAGGACAGGATATTACATGTAAATTATGGAATCACACACATTAAGGGGCTTTGCCAGTGTCAGTACATTGGTCGCAGCAGTGACAAACGCAGATGCCAGTTCTATGTGTCGTTATCAATAACCCTCCGTAGATCTAGATCTAGATCTAGACAGCACACGAGTGAACACAACACATTACGTTTAAGAGCAGCCCCCTTCATAGGCAACACGCCATATCTGTAGCGAAAAACTGTTTGGAATTGTAGCATTTCTTTAAATAAATATTTACTGCGGACATTTTTTGGACCGCTTGAACCATATTGTATACGAACAATCTTTGGTAGGCTTATACTATAATTATAGATCTATATAATATCCGAAATTTGCAAGAAATGATGTGATTTCAGAGTGTTCGGAGAAATAGTGCCCAGCTTTATTTTCCCGAACGTTCGGAGAAATAGTGCCTAGCTTTATTTTCCCGAACGTTCGGAGAAATAGTGCCCAGCTTTTTAAGTCAGCTTTGGCAGTCACCTAGGTGATTTGCTGTTGATGCCAATTTTTTCACCAAATCACGATTATTTCTCCCTGAGATCCTGATTTTGAGGTTCCATAGAGTGGCAGGTCTGGCGTAACAAAATGAAATTAAACATGTGGAAAAACAAATGGTAGTGGAAGTAATGATGATGCTGTACGTAGTGGTGGTGGAAAGCCCTTGAGTTGTCAGTTACTGTGTACTTAGACACTGCCACTGGGTAGATCTAATGAGAATGCAGTCTCTTGACTTTTGACACAATTACACAGTTCTTGTAGGCAATTCTAGTTCTAATTTTGGTTTTTAGGTAAAGTCCCCCGACGACAGTTATAATATGCAACATCTTTACACTCACATAATTATAGCTCACGTAGAAGCTGAGTCCTAATAACTAAAACATTTTTTTCGGACCCGAGTCTGAATAGATAAAACCCATATCGGACTTGAGTCTGAATAAAACTGGCCTATAATTAAAGGTAGCGCCAATTGCCACCGAGTGAGGCAGTGGCAATTGACGCTGGTGTCAATTGCCACTGAGTGAAGCGGTGTCGAGTCTGAAAACAACGCTCTATCTTTAGCTTTCTATTCATAATGTGTTGTGAACACATGACATGAATAAGTTAGATCTAACCCTCTCTCATTTGATCTAGATCTAGATCTAGGCTAGTTGATAAGTCATAACGAGTAGTTACACACACTCCTGTGTTCGAAAAGAAATTGTATAGATTTAGGTCAATTTCTGAATGTTTTGTACTCAAATTCTTCTTTTTACCTACAATGGTATTCAAAACAATCTATAAACTTATTTTTATCAGGTAATCATTTTGCATAAATTCAAGTTCATGGCTAGCCTACGCTTCGGTGTAGAACCAACACAGGCAATTTTAGAAGTAGGCCACAACAAACGCACACAAACTCAAGCAGAGATTCGTATATAGGGAACATAAATCCTGGGGATGGGGAAGAGAGAGACCCACACACACACACTCACACACACAGGGAGGCGGGGGGGCGGAGAGGCGTGCGTAAGCGCAGTAAGCGGAAGTTCACGAACGCAGAACACTGAGCACACATAGGCTAGATCTTCTCCCCAACGTAAAAGAGCTTTAATTTACTCGGTGGCTATTGACGCTGTTGTCAACTGTCACCGCATCACTCGGTGGCAATTGACACTACCATAATTCAATTACGCAGTGGCTACATCGTGAACGTGGTTGGTCGGCTACATTCACGGCGCCGTGAATGCAGTTTGCAGGCGCTTGAGGTTATGTTCACAGCACCACAACTTTGTTTAGATGGAGCGTCCACTGCCGGTTTAAGTCAGCCGGTTTTAGTCAGTGACAACAGTGACATGTATATTTAATATTTTGGCCTGCTTTCCTATTCCAATGAAAATGGTGCTATAGCTTTGAAATGTGTTGATATGCTGTGCTTAATATAATGTCTCAGCTATGGGAGGAGAAATAGCAGTCGGGCGATCAGAAGAAATCTTACAAACATTTTTAGCTCTTGATTTTCATTTTCGAGCATCACTCGTGTAGTCATTTCACCAGGCAACTTCGATTCCCCGTGACTTATTTCTATCATCCATTTTGGGGCCCTGTAATGAGCATAATATCGTTCAATGTTTACTCTCTGCCCTGACTGATTCTGAGGCTGTGACCGTGGGTAATTTTGCAGTAAACGGAAATGCCGCAACGCCTTATGCTCTGTCATCACTTGTTATGCTGGAAAGAACCAGTCACAGAACGTGAAATGATAGGGGTTGAGAAACGTGCATTGTTCCTGTTGATCCGTTCAGAGTGTTTTGTTGTGCGATGCAAGACGCCGATAAGAATAGCGATGGGTGAGACGAATTCATTTAAGTTTTTTTTATGTCGTCATCAAATCTTTACATCTTATGTTAGAAAAGGCTGTATGTCCAAAAAATGTTTCTCCTAATTAATTAAATTTAAATAAAATAATGATTAACATCGCACTGCTTTCCAATGGTCAAGTAGTGGTAGATCTAGATGCGACCACGGGTGCTTGGCTAGGTCTCAACGAGAGGGGAAAATTTGAAGTAAATTGATGATATGTTCTAAAATGTGTTATCGTGGTTATGCTCGAAAGATATATTTGGTATTTTGCCTAGATTCATAGTAAAATGTGAATTAAGTGGCATTTTTTCACCATCAGCATGTTGAGTCAAACTGAACCTCCTGAATCTTTGTTTGCCAACATTTTTTTTAATGGATTAAAATGAAACATGAAAATGGAAAGTTTTTCATTTCTTTCAGACATAACTATGATGACACAAATGTGAACACAAAGACATTCAGAATTTCTTTTTTCTGTTATTTGTATATGCTCTTCATGCATGTTTGAAAAGTAAAGCAATGAGAAAACATGTAGAATAATTTTATGTTCCATAAATTACTTTTCAGGGTGTTTTTCATTTTGTGTCATCATGGTTATGCTCGAAAGATATTTGATAGTTTGCAGAGATTCACTGTAAAATATGAATAAAGTGGCATTTTTTCATCTTTAACATGCATTGTGAGTCAAATTGAATCTTCTGAATCTTTGTTTGCCCAAATTTTCATAAAAGAGATTGAGATATGAAAACAGAAAGGTTTTCATTTCTATCAGCCAGACATAACTATGAGGACACAAATGCAAACACTATGGCATTCTGAATTTCTTTTTTTCTGAGGTCCTCACCTTTTTATATGCTCTTCATGCTTATGCTTGAAAATTAAAAATATAATTTTGTATATGTTCAAATTCTTTAAAAATGTGTCATCGTAGAGTTATGTCCAAGAGAATTGACTTGATGTTATGTAACACTGCTTAGCATGCCCTCTGTAGGTCTGTAAATACGTGTTTTTGTAGGAGGAGATATACATGAATAGAAAAATTAAAGTAAAAACGAAATATGTATAACTTTATCATCAACCCTGTGTGCTACATTTTAGGTACCCACCTTTTGGCAAAAACTCATATATATATTAACCCTATACTCCCGCGTGGCCATGGGTGGGCAGTGCGCTTGTCTCCACCTGGCTTGCTGCGAGCTGCCATTTTTAAAAACAGTCTGGAGTCAACGCACTAACTTTAGACACGCATTCACATTGTGCCCAAATTTAAGCTTTCAGTAGGAAATTTCGCTAAGATTTTACTTTTAAGGATAGTCTACTTATAGTAGTATAGTATTAGAGAGAAGGGGGGAAAATGAGCTGAGAAAACAATCTAATTCTTTGACGGACTGCAACTCATCAGCACTCGCCATAGCAAATTAAAATTTGTGATCAAGATCTAGCTTTTCTAATGTAAATCTTTCAATGCACTAAAATCAACCTGATCGCCTTGTTTTTCTTGGTTTATATATATTACTTTCACATTCATCGCTGCTTATGCCCTAAACAAAACCAAAAACATGGTTCATAATGTATTTTAACTAACACAAAAATAGCAGCAGTTGCACTGCTGTTTTTGGTGGTTGCTTTGTCTTCTCGTCACCTTACTTATTTTGTCGCAATTTGTCTTAATTTCAACAACTTTGATTTATTTATTTTTATGCTAATATTATAGGCAATTTATTTTTCATAACATAGGGGATATTTTATTTCTCTTTGTAAACCAGGAAATGTGGGTAAGAGCTTGATTTTATAAGAATACTCTTTATGGTTTTTTTTACCTTGGCAGCCTGTGGCAAGCGCACTGGCCCTACGTATTTTTATGTAGGCCAAGTGAAATAAGTTAAATTAGTCTACATGACATATGATATGCATCATGTTTGTATGGCCACTAAAACCATTGCATAGAGATTTTTTTCAAGAAAAGCTCAAACCAAAAAGTGCAAATAGATTACAGGGAAATACAGAGGCCCCCTCAGGGCTCTTGTAGTCGAGAGGTTACAGAGTTCGCCTCTCATTCAATAGGTCCCGGTTTGAATCCGGACAACGATGGGAAAATGTTCTTCTCTAAAATGTTCTCCTTTCACCTCCTTTTCTGTTCTCTAATAATGTTCTGTCATCTACTTTCGTCTCCACTTTCTGCCCCTACCCCCTCTCCTCCTTTGCCCCTTACTATAGGCTCCTGACTCTTTCTGCAGCCTTTCTACTGCTACTCCTTGGCTCCTTCTTACTGCTGTCTTTCTGCCACACCCCTTATCTTATGGTAGGTAAGATCTAACACCTAGCCTTCTCGGATGAGTGCGAAAAATCTCGGAGGGACCACGTGCAAGTACATATTAACAAAAACCATAGAATATTTCAAAATTCAGTAATGTGTGATGGATAAGTCCAAATTTGTGTTTAAAAAGCGAATAAAACTGAACAAGTAAAGTGTTATATGCATAGAGGGTCTTTTCACAAAACATGAGCCTTAAACAGGTTGCTAGATTCAGGTTGGGGGGATAAATGGGTTTCCCCATCATGTCCTCTTTGGAACTTGGAGAGATAGTCATTTTCTGCTCTCTAGTCCACTATGTAAATAATCATGATGACTGATGTGAGCTAGACTGAAAAACATTTCTTTCTTATAAGAATTATTCAAACAAACTTGGTTATTTGTCACTTAGAGAATCTAGATCTTGCTTTTGATTCTCGATCTAGAATCTGAATTTATATATAGTATCTTGTATTATTCTTTGTACTCATGCTGTCAACAAGGGCTGTGTGAAAAGTAAGGTAAAAAGAGTCGTTGAATAAACAATTAAAAAGATCAGACTTAAACTCATAGATAATGCAGTTCACCATGAATCGTGAAAATGGTATCATTTTTTTCTAGCAGCCCTTCAGAGAAAATGTTTATCATTGAGAAAACTGATCAAGAGAGTACAGTAACAAACAATTCTGCGATGAGATCATTCATCATCTTCTGTAAAAATCTGTCATGCTGAATGCTACATAAGGGGCCACAAGGGTATAGAAGCCTGATGGAGCAAGGTCAGCACTGTATGGAGGATGCAGGCCCGGTCATTAATCAGATACGCAATGTGGAAATAGCTTTCAGTCACCTGTACTCACGCCAAACCTTTGAACCATTGGCTTCTGACTTTGGAATTTTGCAGGCGCACTGCACATAACTTGTCTTCATTGGTCCTATATGTAATATTTAACAAACTGCACCCGTAATATGTGGGATTCTATCCTTTTTTATTGATAAAAGTTGTATGGCTCCACGCATTTTTACCTTTGACCATTCCTCTCTATGGGGGTCACCATGTTTGATGTGACATCATAGATGCATGCGCTCAGTGATATCGGTTCTTATGCAACAACAAATTATAAATAGCATAAAAATTGTTTTTGAATTACATTTACGGATCATATTAAGATTTATTTGTTTAGTTAAAGCTTTGATCATTTTCACTTTACTTTTCAAAACCCTGGTGTGTATAACATTTCATGTCCTTTTTCGTCCTCATCCTCAGGGTGGGGTGATGGCAGAGAATATGGACGCTTGTGAAACCGTTCAAACATGGAGTGCTTCTTTCTATCATAGCGCCTCACGGAAGTGGTTGTATGGGGTGCTGACCCTGACCCCAAGTGCTGTTTACTTTCAGTCTGACAAAACGGAAGGTGCAGCAGATTATCAAATCAGAGTGGAGTTTTTATCTATAAAGACCATAAGAAAAGCTATGTCTTCCTTCCTTTTTGCTTCAATTACTCTGCTAATTGAAGAAAATCAGACACTTTGGTTTTCATCTCTTGCCAATAGAAATGTAACTTATTTGATATTGCAACATTTTTATCATGCATTTCTATGTAGTTCACATGGGAAATCTCAAGAAGATACTCAGGATTTGCCAGTTAGCCAACCTCAGAATAAAACAAAATTGGGTACAGACCTCCTCCGCAGTGTTTATGATTCACAGAAAACCTTAGAGACAGCTGCTGTCTCGTTAGTCAGCCAAGGCCAGCAACTCAGCTCTGTTGCATGTGTGGTAGAAGACATTCACGAAGATCTGTCTGTGGCCGAAAGAATAGCATCTGGCCTCACATCCTGGCTAGGCAGATGGAAAATGCCGAAAGCTCAGAAGGCAGAGGAGCTTATTTTCGTCAAACAAAATGATATTGCTGATGTAACAGATGTTGATGTTCTGTGCTCTCAAGTGATGAGGGACAAAATTACTCCGCGAAAAGAATGTGTTCTAAGAGTTGGCAAGGAAGGAGTTACCATTCTTGATCTGAAACAAAAGGTGAAGCCCCAGTTCTTGTCATGTTTAATTCTAGCATTGTTTGATAAATGAAGAAATGTGTTATAATAATATAAACTCTGTGTGTATTAGATGGAAATACGTCTCCAGAAGAACTTTTTTGTTTCTCAATTATTCCAACTTAATTTAACTTAAATACAGATTGCAGTCTGTTTTTCCTTATTTATCCCTATCT